CAGTATTACTCCCAACAATAATGTGCACTTCCAGGTTCAGTGATGTGTGCATGCACGGTCGTGCGTTCTTTGAATGCACATGAAGGGTGATGCCTGTATATTTTGTACACCGCCTTGGGACATACATGGAAGGTGATAAATAAACAGCAACGGCAGCAACACCGAGGGAATAACAGAAGTAACACTATTGTGTAACATCCAAGGGCGAAAGCAACCCATGCTAGAAGCATTTGGGGACTTTAAGCAATGGATAGATGGATACGGAATCCACACCACACAAAATCTGCTTGACTAAATAGTATATATTAAGCCATAGATGGCAACCCAACAGGGACTACAAACAGCATTGCTTCTCTGCCTCAACCCTGATACACACTACGCTTCTGTCACATGGGGATAGGGAATAATTATGTCTTCATAACTTTGAAATCTCACTGTCCACCTGCTTCTGGTATGGAGAAATCTTTATTTCTGTGTTTGCAGGCTCCAAAATGAGATTGTAGACATAGAAGTTTCAAAGCAATTTGTAAGTTACAAAAGCATGATACAACCACTCCTAGTAACTTGACATTACAAAAGGAGAATGTTGAAAATACCTGTTTTGCTATTTCTTTCCTTTTTCTTTCTTCTCTCTTTTCTTCTTCCCTTCTCTGAATCTCATCAAGAATTTCACGTTGCTGAAATAAACATTACTGCAATGAAATTTTCTGTAATCTTGCTTCAGTAAGAGTTTATTAAGAAAACTTATCTGCTGAAGCAGACACCCTTAGACAGTATAAATATGGCTCTGCCAAGAGAGAATGCAAGGAAAAACTTTTCACCAAAACAGAGCTTCTTAACTAAACTTAGTTTCAAGTCTACATGTTAAAGACAGGCTACTACAGAAATAGTGCAAATAATAGTACTGGGTCAAAATCTTTGATGAAGTTCAAAAGGTCACCTAAAGTTTAACTTCCTTACATCAGCAAAGAGGAATGCGGATGACCACAAAGGCTTGATCTGCAGGCACAATAGGCCATGACTTATTTTGAAAACAAACAGGGCCCACTACCATCTATCTCTCCCATTTTCAAATCTTGATGGATTCAAAAACAGAATGAGGTAAAAGGGTTGCTGTTCTGGAAACACAACAAAAGCATTTTATTTATTTTTTAAAGGGACTCACTAAACGAGATGTGCAATCTTCATCCCACTGTTTTCAGATACAAACACGATTTTAATAGTTCACAACCAGAGATTCCAGCTGATTGAGTGCTCATATGAAATGGGTGGGGCAGGACAGATATCTTAGATTTCATGCTCTCACCATCTGCTCTTCTTTCCTCCTAAGGTCTTGGATTCGCCGCTCTTCTTCCAGAGCGAGCCTTTCTTGTTCTTTTTGCTGATTCTTTAGCATTTCTTCATGGAAAGATTTAAAGGTGGTTTATTGTATTCACTGAGAAATGATTGTACGTAATCTGCTAATTCAAATATCATCACCTGGAGAGGAAAGGCAAATGCAAAATCTGATTTTAGCAAACTGTTTGCAGTGTGTTCTAATCCTATTTGCGTGTGAGCGAGTACCAGTGACTTCAGTGGAGCTCAATGCCAGCGCCAATAAATCTCTGCCAAACATAACAAAATAAAAGCCAATGCACAACCACTCATCTTTTTTTGCATGTATTTTAGTTCTGAAAATCCAAACTGCTTCTGCTGAATGCATTACTTGCCACTAAAAACAGCCATGCATGAAACCAATTTAGTATTACATTTATATGTGCCTAAATGATGCTGGTAAAAAAGCAGCACCACCACTTCTCAGCAGTGTGTTTCAGAGCATAGTTATAGGGAAAAAAGCCACATCTATTTTTTTCCTCCCTTTTTAATCTGATCATCAATCAGTATTTGACATTCATGTTAATCATTAGATAATGTATGTGAAACATTATTAATGATATTCTGTCAGAATGGTGACAATTAAAGATGACATTATAAACACTGATCATATCAGCGAAGAGAAGAATTTAATTCCCAATCACACTAATTGAATTCTTTAAAATTATGCAGTCTACCTCGTGAATAAGATCTGAACATGAATTCATCTTCATCTAAGTATAGAATTAAAAGTATTCTGAATCAAGATTTTCCACGTACCAGGTGATTATCAACATTCTTTTCTGTAAACGATAATATACTCTAAATTGCAACTGTTGTAGGAATTAAAATATAATTATCCTTCTCAAGGCCAAATCTGTATTTGTAACTGCGGGAAATTGCTTTTGGTCACAACCACACCACTCAAGGCACACTCAAAGGACCATGGTAACTCTAGTATCACTCTCACAGAACTACAACTCCCAGCCTCCTTAACAAACTACAGTTCCCAGGATTCTTTGGGGAAAGCCATGTGCTTTAAATGTATGATATGGATATGACTCTAGTTCTGACTGGCTGAAAACATTTGGATGGACTAGGGCGGTTAGCAAGATTTCTGCTTAGTTCTGAAAAGTAACATTCAGCTGGTACAATGTTCATTTCCTCTAGCAATAAAATTGGATTTTCTAATTTATCAAAATAGATACAATCCAGATGGCTGCTAACAGGAAAGGCTTCCTCCGACATGCTAGCTGTAGCAATATTAAAGCAGTTGCTTGCAAAACAGATCTGTTCCTATTTGTGCTAATCTTTTGATTTTTATATTGCGTAGTAAAAAAGTAGGATGGAGATGCTATGTGCAGTAGCAATTATTTTTTTAAAAAAATACAATTTATTTTATACAATTTTTATTTATACTATACATTTATATCCTATTTTCCATTAACACCTCATAATACTATAATATAACAAGCCCCACCAACCTACAAAGCATGCAATTGAGAGCAATATAAAAGTTAAAATTGCCAACCAGTACAAACAGGTCCTCTGGGAAGATAGTGCAACAGCATTATTGCCACAGCCAGGAAAAGGCTCTGCTTCACGTCCCTCAACTTTCTCAAGCTTAACCTTACAAACAGTGGAGAACTAAGCACATCTACTTTCACACTGAGATTAAGTTCCACTGTTCTTGGCTAACCATCTAAAGACCAACTCCACATAATGGGTTCGATTTGTTTTTAAATTAAGTCATGGGATTAACCTAACCTCATTGAATACAGATGTATCCCCCGACTCTAAACCAGTTATTATGAATATGCTATTGTGTTGATTTATGAACTGAAATAACTCAATTCATGGGGTGCCTGGGAATGACGTCATTCACTTTTGCTTCTAACAGACATTTCTGTCAACTTTTCAATAGGGTCACTTTCTATTATTCATGACCATCTGAAATGACATGTCAAATGAGCTTTATTGTGCTAGGCCAAGTCTTGATATGGCCTCCCCTACACCTAGCTAGGCACAAACCCTGCAATGCGGTGGGTACTATCAAAATGCGTTAGAAGCACATCGTACCAAACATAATAGCAATAAAGGTGCACACACAAAATGTTGCTATAGTGACAATGTCGTTCAATATCAAGGGCAAAATCAACACGCTCACCTCTCCACAACGTTCTTTTGCCAATTCCTCTAGTCTGGATTTTAACAAGTTAATGTTTTCATTTGACAACCCCTTTGCATTTTGAAGCTCAATTTCTGGAACTCTAGAGGAGGGGGAAGAGTAACCAAGACAAGACTTGAGTTTTTATATCATCCAAATAAGCTGTACTTTGAAAGTGTATAGTTTTTATTCACCCTGTTTTTATAAGCAGCTGGCTCACAAGAAATCTTGTCAAATTACAAAAACTGACCAGAATTCTATGGTAAAGGCACACAACACACGTCTTCTAAGAAGACTAATATGAATTCCATCATGTTTATAACCTGTGCATGCTAAATTTCTAAATATGCACGGCAGCAAGCATGGCAGTAAACAACTCAGAGAGGACACAGGATGGGATTTTAGAAGGAATTGACTTTGAATCCTAATAAAAGAGAAACTATTCCGTTTGATGTTGTAATATCAATATCACTCTCTTTGATTTGGGAGTCGGCAGTATGAAGCACTACTTCCGTTATTCCACACACTCAGAAACATGTTTTGAATAAATTTACAGAAATGCAACTCACACAGACATCTTATTTCAGTATGCCTAATTAAATGACAAAAACTGGACAGATGTATTATTATTCTTACTTAGGGAAGTTTAGAATAGATTTGCTATTTACTTACGTATCAGGGTAAGTTTGGGGACACTGGACCCACAAGTCAACTTTGGCATAGACTTCACGGTCACCAGTCAAGCCCTGAGGGCGCAAAACTAGTTTGATTTCTGGAGGCTGCTGTACCTGAAACAATTTTAAAAGATATAAGAAGAATTAACTACATTAGAGGAAAGCAGCTGGCAGCCTGGGAGCTCATTGAAGCCTTCAGGGGCTTTGTGTCTGGCTCCCAGCAGAGATACTGTCTTGTTAAGCAACCTCCACGGCTTTCTTCAACACAAGCAGAGAGATAAACTGTGCATGACAGACAGATATGCCTGAAAACCAACCACAGGAGGCTGAAATCAGGAAAAGGCAGTGGATCAGGCTGTTCAACTATTTTCCTACCAGCATTTGTCCATCTAATTGTCCTTTGTGTGTAGTTTGACCCAGAGACATAGGTAGAGCTTTAACTCTTTCTTCCTCAGTGTGAACAACAATAGAGAATTTGACAAAGCCCTCCTTTTAAAAAGTATGTAACAAAGGAAGGGCTCTGCTAATGCCTCCGCTCAAAAAAGGATGGAGTTAAAGAGCTCTTTTATCCAAGATGGATGGGTCAGAAAGCAGTGCCTGTGTTGTTAGCTCTTCAGCCTTTGTTCAATGGAAATTATGACCAGTTAAAAATTACCGTATTTTTCGCTCTATAACACGCACCTGACCATAACACGCACGTAGTTTTTAGAGGAGGAAAACAAGAAAAAAATATTCTAAACAAAACAGTGGATGTATGATTTTTGTGGTTCATGCTGTGGCCACAGACATGTGATCTGACGGTGAGTTCGGGGTAGCCCGATGCAAAAATCCTGAGGATCCATGTGGGTCCATGCTTTGTAACCACGTTTTTGCACCATTGCGGCCCCATGAAATAGTGGGTGTGTGTGTGTGTTTTGTGCAGGCTGTAGCCATGGACATGCTATGTGATCTGATGGTGAATTTGGGGTGACCCAGTGCAAAAATCCTGAGGATCCATGTGGATCCGTGCTTTGTAACCACGTTTTAAGTGGGGAGGGAAGGAAAAGCACTCAAGGGACAAGGAGCACACGTGGGGGGGGGGTGGAGAAGGATGCTGCTAATAATGCAGGAGAGGCTCCTCTCCGGCTTTGCTCCTTTAGAACAAGCAGGCTCTGCGTCTCTCCCTCCTCCCCAGCAAGGAAACCACGATAGTAACCACTCTGAGACAAATCAAGAAAAAGTGCGACCAACACTCTCCCTCAACAAGCACAGTGAGGTCAAAACACACACACACACAGAGAGAGAGAACTGGCCCTAAAGTTGCAGGGCGCTGGAAGTCGCAGGGGCGCTGGGGGAGTGAATGGGAAGCAAGAGAAGGAGAACGATCCCTCACACAAACACAGACACACAGAGTGTCAATTCTAAAGTTGCAGGGGCGCTGGGAGAGTGAATGGGAAGCAAGAGGAAAAGGAGCCCTCACACACACAGAGACACACAGTGTGGATTCTAAAGTCGCAGGGAGAGTGAATGGGAAGCAAATCACACACACAGAGACACACAGAGTGTGGATTCTAAAGTCGCAGGGAGAGTGAACGGGAAGCAAGAGGAGAAGGAGCCCTCACACACACACAGACACACAGAGTGTGGATTCTAACGTCGCAGGGAGAGTGAACGGGAAGCAAGAGGAGAAGGAGCCCTCACACACACACAGACACACAGAGTGTGGATTCTAACGTCGCAGGGAGAGTGAACGGGAAGCAAGAGGAGAAGGAGCCCTCACACACACACAGACACACAGAGTGTCAATTCTAAAGTCGCAGGGAGAGTGAACGGGAAGCAAGAGGAGAAGGAGCCCTCACACAGACACACAGAGTGTGGATTCTAAAGTCGCAGGGGGAGTGAAGGGGAAGCAGGAGGAGGAGAACGATAGCTCAAGCACACACACACACAGCCCCTACAGTGGCTAATCCATAATCGGACAGCAAAAAACTGCAGGCAGGGACAGAGAGCAGGGGTTGTTTTAAAGCAGCCAACTCCCGCTCTGCTTCTCTCCCTCCTGCCCGGCTCCGCTAGCTGACAGGAGCCACTTACACCCGCTTTGCTGTTTCAAAGCGAGCCACAGACTGCTCACGACTGCAGCAGATTCCCCCGCCATCTGTAGGCATTCGCTCCATAACACGCACAGACATTTCCCCTTACTTTCTAGGAGGAAAAATCTGCGTGTTATGGAGCGAAATTTACGGTAGCTGCCAACCACAGATATATGTACGAAACCCAGAAGAATTCAGCACTTCCGTTTTCAAACGAGTCTCGGTTTTTGAACGGCTTCCGCTGCGCGTTTTTCAATTTTCTCAATGGAAACTGCAGACGGCCCTTTGCGCCTTGGTTTTCGAACGTTTCGGAAGCCAAATGGTCTTCCGGAACAGGTTACGTTCAAAAACTGAGGTACCACTGTACTCACGATATTATGTGGTCACATTATAGAAGAGCAAGGGAGTCCTTGACCTTATTATTGACTTGTATATGATTATGTTTACTGCTCTCGCTCCCCAGTCTTGCATTCTCTCTGTCCACTACTGCACCAGCTCACATATAATATTTTTAGTCACAGCGCAACTGGCTTCCTTACCAACAAACTACCCTGTACTCATACAAGAGTCATTTCAGCAGAAAAAAAAGGTTGGGACACTTAATAATCCACATGTTTATGCCATAATAAATTTTAAGGTGCCACAAGACTCTTTGATAGTTTCTGCTACAAGAGATTAACACAGTTATCACTCTGGAAATTCTATAATCTGAGTATTTTAACTGATTTGTGGACTGAGCCAGGTACTACAGGAACAGATACACTCAAAGTCAAATGCCAAAGAAAGCACCAAATTATGTTTAACTAGCAAAATGTCTGTGACTATAACAAGCAGGGTATAGAAGCGTATAGAACAATTCATCTCTCTCAGTGCACCCCTGCAGAAACCCATGGTCAGTGACAGAGTCAGGCCACCCGGGGGGAAGGGTGCCTTCACTGCAACATTGCCCCTAATTACACCTCTCTATATTTACTCTTAAAAACAAAAAACACTGATATGCATGGAAGCAGCAAGAGGAGAACACTGTGGTGCAGGCTAAACCTTCTCCTCAGTATCCCTAGTCATCAAGAATTAATTCTGCTCCTATCTGAAAAGCTCTGAATTCTGTTTCCTAGATACATTAAACTGCAACAAACCCTGTAAAAATGTTTTAAAATAGATAACCACTGTTTTCAAACAAGACTCCCAAAGTTTAACTTCAATTTGGGAGAACTTCGGGGGGGAAACTATGCCATTTGTGGGATGGAATATGGTTTCCTGACATACACATGTAATAGTAGTTTAATAACTTGGGCGTTTGCATTCAAGGAAAAGCATGAGCAGATTATGTTAAAAAACATGTGTTTCAAGTGTCACACACAAATGTCATGGGGTTGGGAACATAGTCTTTGGGGAAACCAGCATGAATAATAACCCTTCTAATTATAACAGCACACAAGAGAAATTATTAGTGTTCACTTTAGTACATACAAGATGCTTCACAGTTTAACAGGGGCACTTGGGAGGAGCAGAAAATGACAATTCCCTTGGATACTTATTATATCACTGCTCACTTGGGGAGAAAGCAAATGATGGCTAATAATAACAACCATATTTTGAGGTATCTCAGGCTGTGCACACTAGACTTTATCAGTGTAGAGACACCAACAATGATAAGCCTAGGCTGCATTCACAAGGCAGTTCCCCCCTGCCCCAGAGTAGTTACTCAAGGTTGAATTTCAGGAACAGGCAGGTTCCAAAACCTGTTTTTCTCTGCACAGCTTGTGAGATGCAAATCTGGATACAGCCCACCAACCCTGAATGATTGCCAGCCAGGATTTCAATTAATTTCTGCTTTTGCTGCCTGCCTGTGACAGTGACTATGCTTTCTAGATGACTGACATGTCTCCTAATACACAAGAGCTCACCGATGAGACGACATTAAATTTGGTAAATCACAAATTATGAAACTATCTGAGTTCTGTGAAGATTCTGAGGAAAAACTCCAATACTGAACGTGTGGATACACTGACTATGTGATGTGGCCAGACGTCTCCAAAGCATAATTAGTCAGAAACTGTCATCTTATAGAACATTGATAAGGCAAGACGAGACAATAAACTCAGGGCTTGCAGTATTAACACGCATTATTTGCTAAATTATTTAAAATGTTTTTTTAAGATTTAAGTCATAGCACTAATGGTCCAGAAGTTGTGACTGACTTTTGTTAGCCAGCTGAAACTTGCGTCTGCAAGTAATATAAATAAAGAATAACAGGCCTCTAACAAAACAAGAAAACAACTGGGAAAGGGTGGCTTGCTGGCAGATCACATGTTTTGCATGCAAGAGGTCCCAGGTTCAATTCCCAGGTATCCCCAGGTGGGAAAGATGGAGAGCTTTTGGCAACCAGCATAGACGACACCGAGCTAGAGGGGACCAAGGATCTACCTTGACATAAGCCAACTTCCTCTGTTCCTAACCGTAAGCCTTCCATGATGACGCACACTTTGTGTTTACACTGCAATCATTAAAAGGTAAGGACGTGTCGCCTCCAACGCAACTGTTATGACCCGTTACCAATAAAATGAGTGATGCACAGTCAGAGGGAATTTCTGCCCTGCCCTTGGCATGCCTTCCGTAGCACACTGCAGGCGCTGGTTGCTTTTGCATTCAGCGGAACACGGATGTTAAGCCTCCCCGGGCATCGAAAAGTGAAGGCAGCAGCAGGGCCTCGGTTCTTAAAATACGGAACGGATGCCGAGCGAGAAACGCTTAGGAAACCACCTTAGGAAACGCTGTAAGGCAGCAAGTTCTGTGAGGCTGGTCAGGCAAAGGCCCTGCCTCTCGCCCCCCGCCCCGAGATGAGAAGCCGACCATGCAGGAAACTGCCCGCGAGAGGCCAGCCTTTTACCTTCCACGGCTTGCCGTGGCGCAAGTCCTGGAAGTCCCGCCCGTAGATAGATTCCAGCACTTGCAGCTCGTTCTCCTGGCGAAGCTGGTAGCTCTCGGGCTGCTCCGGGGACGCCTCGGCAGCCTCCCCCCGCGGCTGCCACAGGCCCCTCACCTGGGCCATGTCCGCTCGGGGAGGGGTGGGGGGGGTGGAAAGCGAAACCCCCCCAGGGAGCCCGGCTGCACTTCGCCGAGCCAGGCCGCAGCCGCCGCGGTGGGCGGAACCGCGCGGCCTGCTATTCCCGCCCTGCTTTGCAGGCCCCACCAAACACCGCGGCTGCCCGTTGCGGCAGCGCGAGAGGAAGCCCGGGGAAGGCGCTGCTGGGCCGAGGCCCGGAGTTACCTCGCCGGCCCCACTTCCCGTTGCAGTTTGCAAAACGAAACTAAGGGCTTCCTTCATAGCCCTTCTTCAGGTCTCTGCTCTGTACAGCCCAGTAACAAGCATGCAAATACTGTAAAGAAACCGTCGCCTTCATAGATCGCCTTTCACCAAGCTGGTGCCCTCCAGATGTTTGTTGGACTACTACACTGCCATCCTCCCTAACTACTGGCCCTTGTTCATTAGGGCAGTGGTAGTCCAATATTTGGAAGGCAGCAGGTTGGAGACGACAGCTCTTGATTGATTCGAGGGAAGGGTTGGGGACCCATCACCACAGGAACCCACCCCCTCACTTCTGGATAGCATACGGGTTCATTGTCATTTAGTACACATTTCTAACGACAAAAATATTTCCCTTTATTAAATTAACATTTTAATGCAATAGCCATTGCAGATCTTTCAACCACTAAGCATGTCGTAACTGAAGTGGGAAAATAAATGATGGCGTCATATGGCAGCTACTGAAATTTCTTTTGATTTTAAAAAAGCCCCATAGAAAACTAAATTAAAGTTGCCTGGCTTAAATTATTTTCTAAGACTTAAGATATTTCATTTTTCCTAGTGTAAATATTTCTAGATTATACTATTATTGCTCTATATACAGTATTCCCATACAAATGTTATGGATGCACGATAGTTTCACATTATTTCAGAGAGCTACCATTTTAATTCCTTCATATTAGATTTGCCCCACTTTGTGACAATTAGCAAAGGTCAGTGTACATTTGCATGACTTAGCTCTGGACATTCTTGGATGGTGCTGATCATCTTGGTTCATTTAAATTTGGCTTCTTGACCATCTTTGGGACAGAAATTAGGTAGTCATCCTCCTGAATGATCTATGCCAGGAGTAACAGAGGAATGCACCTCTACTGATTCTCTGGGACCTTCTCATTAAGCATGGTTTCCTTCTTCAGCTGCCTGTTTGAGATGTGAATGGAGCCATTGTTCTTCAGCAGTTCTGACATATCACTTTTGCAAAGCCAGATGGTTGCTTGGGAACTTAAGAGCACGATAATGAAATCCTGATAGCTCAGAATATATCTAATGGAGTTTTAAGAATGAAATACCCATCAGCGCTTGAACCCTGGAGTAGGGACAAAGATTCAGCAAAAAGCAGTTCACATTTTAAACTAGGAGAGAAACAGCAGCAATCGATAATTTTCTAGTTAGAGTTAGCTGGATTCTAGGATGCAGTGGGAGAAGGGTACTGCACAAGATATCTGGGTATCTGCTATGTTATAGGGGTTCTTGTTTGCTTCCACTATGTTATGCAGGCATATCTGGAAACAAAACAAACCTTCCAAGACATCTTAAGTATCTAGTGCTCTCATCCAAAGGAAAACTTCAGGGATATCCCTAGCACCTCTATTCATTCGGAGAACAATATACTGTTGGAAAAGTCTGTTTTCTAGTTGGAGTTGGAGTTTATTGCCTACATGCTGCTAGTAGTCAATTGCAAAAAAAAAACAAAAAACTGTGGAGGTCAATATCCACATTAGACAATGCATGACCTATTTTGCAAGTGCAATATTTAAAAGGCTTTTGGTGTACGTATTTTGCAAGGGGGGGTTAGTCCAGAAAGTGTGAAGTATTCTAAGACACCTATATTGTATTTAAACACACAAACCCCTCCTTTTGAAAAAACCAACTAAATGTAACGTTATGAATTACATATCCCTCCCTTTTCACGTGCACTGCTATTTAAGGAACTTGCATAAACTTTCTGAATTCTGAAGACGATCCCCCCGCCCTTGGGTTTTCCTCAGACATTGAACTGACAGCTCTCAAAAAGCAAGATGGCTGCCACACACACACACAAAAACAAACCTGCCCCTCCCCTACCACAGCTGAGCGTCACATGACCCGCTCTCTCTTTCTGGCTCTCTCTATGAAAAACGGCAGCGAGGAGCAAACGAGCCAGGCGAGAGTTGCTCGCTGCTCATTCTGCAGCCTGTCGAGCGGCGCAGAGCTATGCCAATGCAAAAGGAGGCCGCGTTCACCCAAGCGCTATTCGGCCGCTATGTTCCGAAGAGAACTGTGGCATAATTCCAATGAGAAACAACATCCCCACATGGGAGTTTGGGGCTTGCTGAACACCCAAACGGCACCTGTCTGTGAGGATGCCTAAGGCAGAGAGATGCCGCTTCCCTGTGCAAAGATGTGAACGCGAAGCAAAACCTTGGCACTGGAAGGCGCAGCACCAACTGGGTTAGAGCTGGTGTTTCCCTTTTGGATGCAAACGCGGTGCGACCCCCGGAGCAGGAGCATGGCGCGCACGTCGCTTGGGCTCATGTTTGTGACACGCTGAGGATGGACAGGGGCAAAGGCAGATGGGGCAACCGCGGAGCTACAAGCAGCTTCGCTTCTCCTCTTCCCCATTGCGCCGTGAAGGCAGCCCCTTGCTAAGACACCGGGCATGAAAAGCGAGACGCGCTTCTTCCCCGGGTCCAGCAATCCAGCGGCGAGCCCATGGAGCAGCCTGCCGTGCGGACAGAGGCGGCTCCTGCCGGCCGCCTGCTTCCTTCGGTGAGGAGCGCGGGACCCGCGCGGGGGGCTTGCTAGGTAAGGCGGCCCAGGAAAGAGACCCCTCGCCATGGGGTCCAACGCCAGCTGGGCTTCCGTCAACGCCAGCGAGCGCGGGCCCTACCACGCCGTCGCCAGCGCTTTGAACGCGTCCAGCGCGCAAATCGCGGGCATCAACAGAAGCGCCCACGGCAACGGGACTTCGCAAGGGGAGGCATATCGGGACGAGCAGACCTACCGACATTTTACCACCGCGGTGCAAGTTATCATCTTTATAGGCTCTCTGCTAGGTAAGCAAAAACCACAGAAGCAGGTTGTTGGTTTTTCCTGGCTGTGGGCTTCTTTTCTACCTTGGTGCGCAGGGGGTGACGCCAGAACCAAAGCTAACCAAAACAGAATTACTGGGGCTTTTCCTTTAGCAAACCAGCAGGAAGGGCAATTCTGCTTTGTTGCATTATCTCTTAAGATAAAAACATTGGGTGCTGCACTTCCAGCCGCCTTGAGTCCCCTCAGGGAAAAAGGCCGAGGTATAATAAATATATAACAATAGTAATAAACTTTAGGCATGTGACAAGTTGGTATCGCTTGAATATTTATGTGTCAGTTTTCCTTGACGTAAGAACATGTGTGGGTTTTTTTGAGAATAATTTTTTTAAGAACTCAAACCGAAGAAGAAATATGTTTGTGTGCTCTTGGTTCTTCAGTACAAAGGAATACTTTATTGTGATAACGTTTGGGACAATTATATAAGTGCACATTTACATTTTTAAAAATGCTCTACTTTCGTTGTACAAAATAGCTTGTTGAACCTCAACCCTGACCCTCCCCCTGTAAGGTTGTGCAAAAATGGGTTTGAATGTTTTCGCTGAAATAAGAAACATAATGGGTAAAACAATGGGTAAGGCCTACAGTTGCACAATTCAACTTTTTAAGTTCACTCAGAGGCAGCGGGATTTAAGCAGGCTAACGTTGTGTAGAATTACAGCCTAAATCTTTGCAAGTCCAGTACTGTACAGTACTTTTGGTACTTTTGGAGGGATGTTAGGTTGAGGGATAATGGCTTCTCAAGACTACCCCAGTCAGCTTCATGGGTGAACTGTGGTTTCAACAGGAGAATCCCAGTTCAAAGTCAACCTGCTACACCAGTCTCATGTACTATAGCTCCACTAGAGAGAAATTTATGGGCAGCAGCAGACTGACTCTTGCGTTAAGATGATCTTCCCCAATGAACATATATGTGGCTCTGATTATCTCTTATGAGGTCAGGGGAAAGTGGGTGGCTGGAATTTCCACCAGCCCCAAGCCCCCATGAGTGTTTATAATTGACTGTACTGATAATGTGTTTAGCAACGTGTAACGCTCTGCGGGAGCATCCTAGGCACACCCTTAGGTATTGAGTGCCATTTCTCTCTCCATGCAGTGCCACCCTTCTGCATATTTAAATGGCATAAATATGTGCGAGCCACTTGGGAACACCTATTTTGGTATATGGAGATCTCTTGCTGAATAATGACCTCCCTCCTCCCCATGAACATTTTTAAATCCTGTGGATGTTGTAGATTAATTGAACTGGCTGCTGAATAATGCCACAGTTTCTTCGTTTTTAGGTAATATTTGGAGTAAACCATTGTTTTTACTTTTTTATTTAAGGTGTAAGTTTATGCAAACATCCAAAAATTTTTTTTTTTACTCTCCAATGCAATTATTTGGAGTTTTCACAGATTTTCAAACCAAAATAAATATTGTGGATTGTGAATTTATTAAAAAATGTACTGACTGGTACAGTTGACCCTCCAGATATGAACTTAATTTCATTCCGGGGGTCCTTATGTACCCCGAAAAGTCCACATCTAGAGGCACCATGTCTGCGCACCGTGTGGCGCAATAGAGCGCTTCTGCACATGTGCACGGTGCGCAGAGCGTTTCGCGTGTGTGTTCGCAACCCAGAATTATACACTTCCAGTTTGCCATGTTTGCAACCCGAAAGTTATGTTACCCAAAGGTAACGTAACGTCCACTGTACTGTATAAGTTGGATTCCTTAATATTGTTACACGCCACCCCAAATCTCTGAGCATGATTCCAGGGTACCAGGCGTGCTTACCAGGGCTTGTGTTTCCTTTTGGACAATTGAAGAGATGGATAAAATGAAGGGTTGCTGTTAAAAGGGAAAAATAAGGATGCAGAAAAAGGGAGGTATGGGGGAAGTCCGGGAAACAAGGTGAAGGAGAATGAGTTTATGAAATTGTACATGTTTATTTGTGTGTATGTTTTGTTTTGTTCTGTTGTTGGTTTATATTATATGTTTGGAAAACTTAATAAAAAATCTTTAAAAAAAAAAAAAGACAATTGAAGAGATGGAAAGCTTTAGAAAAGAGTAACCAAAATGATCAAGGGGTCA